CTGTGTGTGTTTTGAGGGGCCCGTACCCTCTCACATCCTTGCAGAAAGCCATGCTGAGGTGGGGGGGGGATCTGTGGGGACCTGTGTGGGTTTTGGGGGACATGGGTGAGGTGTTCAGGGGAGCTGGGGGGCCTATACCCTCTAATGAATGTTCTTGCAGAAGGCAAGTAAGGATGGGTGTGGAATTTAGGGGTGCAGAGGAGGCTGTGGCGGTTTCAGGGCACCATGGGGGGTGTGGTTTGGGGGAGCTCAGCTGAGGTGGGGGGGGGATCTGTGGGGACCTGTGTGGGTTTTGGGGGACATGGGTGAGGTGTTCAGGGGAGCTGGGGGGCCTATACCCTCTAATGAATGTTCTTGCAGAAGGCAAGTAAGGATGGGTGTGGAATTTAGGGGTGCAGAGGAGGCTGTGGCGGTTTCAGGGCACCATGGGGGGTGTGGTTTGGGGGAGCTCAGGGGGCCTGACCCTCTCATGGACGTTGCAGAAAGCACGTCAGGATGGGTGGAGAGATGTATGGGTGCCATGGAGGCTGTGAGGGTTTTGGAGGGCCACAGGAGGGCTCAGGGGGGCCGTACCCTCTCGCGCACGTTTTTGCAGAAGGCCATGTCGGGGTCGGTCTCCTCCATGGTGAAGACACTCCGGTCGTGCAGCTCCGAGCGCAGCGTCTCCCCGTGCACCAGGTAGGCCTGGCTTATGTAGGGCACATTCCACACCCCACTGTGGGACAGACACACAGACACCGGCTCAGCAGAGCAGCAAGGGTGGGGTGGGGCCAGGGCCCTCCTCCAATAAAGGAGGCTCCAGATTGGTGGAGTTTAGGGAGTGGAGCTCCAATAGAAGTGGGCAAGTCCAGGCCACACCCCCTGTGAATGGGGCAGAGTTCTGATTGGGGGCAGGTCTAGGCCACACCAATGGGAAGGGGGCAGAGCCCCACCTGGAGGGTAGATTTAGATCACATTCACGGGGAAAGGGGTGGAGCTTCAGTTGTAGGCAGATCTAGGACACACCCCTAGGAAGGGGGCAGAGCTATGGCTGGGGGCAGGTCTCTCCGGGGGTTGACTCACATGCGCTTGCCCTGCACCAGCTCCACGTAGTCCTCGGAGCGGGCGTAGTAGCCCTCAGGGCTCAGTGCCCCCCAAAAATTTGACCAGAGCTTGCGTGGGCGCGACACCATGGGGGCGATGACTTTCCTGCAATGGAGCAGAGAGACAAAGGGTGGAGCTAAGCAAGGGGGCGGAGTCACGTGAAAAGGGGTCGGGGGGCGGGTCTCACTGGTTCTGTTGGATCAGGTCGCGCAGGGCCCCTGGGTGAGTCAGGAGGACATCCGCATCCATACTGAAATAATAGTCACAGTCGGGGTCCTGCCGGCAGATGTCCCTGGAGAATACACGGGGGGGAGGGGGGTCAGACAAACACCACGGACCAGCTCCTCCACACCCTCCCTCGGTGCCTGTCTCCAACTCCCCCACAGCATCATGCCCCCTGCAGCCCCTGGTCCTGCCTCCAGCAGTCCAGCCCTGCCCACTTCCCCATAGCCCCACCCCCATTCCCAGAGGAGGGCCCCCCCCTGGCTCCTTTAGCCACCGCCCATCACCATGAGACCACCCACGCTCCTGTTGCCCCGTCTTCCCTATGGCACTGCCCACCATCTGTCCCACAGCTGTGTCCAACACCTGTCCCCTGGCCACACCCACATTCCCACAGCTCCGCCCACCAGCTGTCCCACAGCCCCACCCCCACGGGCGCACTCCCATTCCCATGATCCTGCCTATGACATGTCCCACAGCCCTATGGCCCCGCCCCCATTCCCACAGTCCCACCTACTATCTGTTCCACCCCCACCCTGTGGTCACAACCCTGGCCAATCTCCTCTTGTATGGCACCTTCCCCTCATCACATTCCCACCCTCCCTCTGCCCGGGTGCTGCCCCCAGCCCCGCCCACTCACATGCCCATGTCCCGTGCCTCGCCCTGGTTCAGCTCCTCCTCCGGGCCCACTATCTGTTGCATGGCTCCACCCCCACCCTGTGGTCACAACCCTGGCCAATCTCCTCTTGTATGGCACCTTCCCCTCATCACATTCCCACCCTCCCTCTGCCCGGGTGCTGCCCCCAGCCCCGCCCACTCACATGCCCATGTCCCGTGCCTCGCCCTGGTTCAGCTCCTCCTCCGGGCCCACCAGCTTGATGCTGGCGAAGGCCCCGCGCAGCCGCTCCCAGGCTTCCTGCACGTGGGGCTCGTGAAACACCTCCTGGGAGGAGGGGCATGGGTCAGCTGGGGAGGGTGGGAACCGCACCACCGTGTCACGGGGGCTGGGGGAGTCTCCAGGCAATGGGGGTCTCTGGAGGGGATACGGGTCCCTGTGGGGGGTGTCTCTGCTACATGGTGGGGAGGGGGCATCAGCGGCTGGGGACGTGGCTGGGAAGATGTGTGGGATCTGGAGGTGTCCACGGGATGGGATCTCCACGGGCAGGGAGAAGTGGGGGCAGTTTAGGGACATCTGAGGGTCTCAGGGTGGTCTCAGGGGCAGCCAGGAGTCACATAGGGCTGCTGGGGATTGCAGGGGTGTGATGTGGAGCAGCTGGGGGCAAGAGCAGGCAGGTTGGTGAGGGGTGTGAAAGTGGGGTGGGGGTAGAGCCATGGGACAGCAGCTGGGCGGAGCTGTGGGAAGGGGGCAGGGGTGGGGGACAAGTAGGGGCACAAGGGGCAGCGGGAGGCAATGAGGGGGTATTGCAGGGAGTTGTGGGGAGCACAGGGGGCCAGTGGGGGCACAGGGACATGGGGCAGCAGGAGGGCGGGAGCCAGGGGACAGCGGGAGGCAGGAAGGGGCTCGAGGGGCCATGGGGAGCAGGTAGAGGTGCAGGGGGCCCACAGACAGCGGGGCACTCACGCGGTTGTGCAGGAAGAGGCTCAGGCGGGCGTAGGGATAGTCCCAGGCCAGCAGACGCTGAAGGAACTGGGGCAGGAAGGGCGTGGGCTG